TTTTTTTTTTTTTTTTTGTAGAAGTAACAAGCAGCTTTTAATAGATTCATTTCTGTTTTGTTCTTTTTGCTTCTTCACTAATCTAAAGGCAAACGAAGCAGACCGTAATCCACTGATCAAAAACAGTTACAGATTATGTGACCATATTGAATGATCTGTTCAGATTATTTTACAGTTTGATAACATACACACACAGACAAATAAAAAAAAACAGAATGTTGAGAGTTAACAAGGAAAAAAAAGTTATTTTTTAAAATAATCAACTCTTCTTCTCGCTTAATTCATCATTTTTTTCTTGTTGCACTAACCTAAAAATGCTGTTTTATATTAATTGTCCAATTAGATAGCAGTTTTTCTGTAAATTTTTAAAGATTATTTAGCTGCCAGCTGTTATTATTCAAAAGCCAGAAGAAAAAAAGCATTAAGTGATGAGGATAATTTTACAGTGATGAAATATATAAATCAAAATTAACCACTTTTTTTTTCTTCTTGTTTGGTAAACAATTGTTTCTTTTTTCGTTCTTTTTTTTGCTAACAAAAATTCTGTAAATATGTTGACAAGAAAAACGCTAAAAATTAAACTGAATTGAACAGAACTAAAATGAAATAAAATAAAGTAAAAGAACCTTTTCTCAACCCTCAAAACAAAAAAAATTTCTATAAACAGGAAGGAAAACTGAGAAGAGCAGAGGAATAGAAGGAGAATGTTAACTATCAGATGGCACAGTAAAAAAAAGCAACAACATCAATAAAAAAAAAGATTGAGTAGAAGAAATTACTTAAAAAATAATAACAATAAGTGTTGTTAAGGTGTTAATGGTGGCAAAGAATTCATTAAAAACTCATAAATCTTATGGAACATAAAATGGGAAAGCAAATTGTCGACAAGTGCGAAAGCTGTGGACTGATAACAGTCAAAACCTTATAAACTGTTGAAAACGGCAAATTTTGACGACTCACTTAAAGAGCACACAAACACACACAGTGACATGCAATTCCTTCTCCTTCTCCTACTTTTTTTTTTTGTTCAGTTTAGTTTAGTTTCTAATTTCCCTTCCCTAACCCCCTCCCCAAAAAAAAAAAAATTCAAGCCATTTTTTTTGAGTTTTTTCTTTCTTTCTTTCTGCATTTAAATCTTCTTTTAGTTTTGTGGCTAATTTGTTTGGGTATTTGCTCTTCTAAGCTTTAAGTAAATAAGACTAGTTCAATGTCAACAGTATATTACTGGTAATGTCGACTAAACTTGCTTAAATGTAAAGGTTTCTGCTTTTTTTAATGTCACAAAGATGTTACATTGTTTTCATATTTTCATTAAAAGAAAAAAATAAAACTTTTTTCTAATCTTTTTCTTCCTTCCTGTCTTTTCATTGCTGTCAACAACTTCAAAGGCTAAAATTTATAGGAACAACAATAAACAAATACAGAAGTATTAAAAAAAAAATTTTTTTTTTCAGTTAAGAAGAAAGTTTGTCTTGCAGAAAACGTAAACTTTTAAGAAAAAAGTAAATTGAATAGAGAAATGATAATTTGAATGATACCAAACAAAACCTCTGTCTTCGTTTTGTAGCTTTTTTTTTCGTTTCATAACCTTAACTTTTGCTTATCCCATTTTCGTTTTTTTTTTTTTTCTGCAAACTTTGAACTATTTTTTGTGTAATCTAAATTTTTCTGTTTCAATCATTAACGTTTCATGTTTGTTTACTAAGAATTGCAATCATTTTTATTCTTACTTAAACTGTTTCATTGGATAAGTTACCATTAAACTGTCCAGTGAGTGTTACATTTGGCAACTAAGTTGGTCAGTCTTCCCTACCGAAGATAGAGCAGAAGAAATTAATTAAAGATATGATAAATTGAATAAAATGAATGTTAATTTTTACCAATTTGTTTTCCATTCTTCTGACATTTTCTTTTGATCTGCTCAAAAAATTATTTGAGCCCAAAATTCCTGCACAGCAATCAGCACTGTCAACTGTTGCATGAACAATGTCAGTCATTTTCTCATTCCCTCAGAAAAGAAAAAGGTAACATTTGTCTCTTTGGAAAAATTTTATAATTACTTAAGAAAAAGTTAAGGTTAAGCAGAAAAAAAAAGAGGCTAAAAAGACCGTTTACATAATTTGCCGTAATCGATACAAAAACAAAAATTTTTGCTGTCAACTCAGTAAACGCTATAATGATAAGGGTTTTTTTTTGTTCCAGCAGTGCACCTGTAATCAGAATCTCCTAAAACTTTGATAATGCGTAATTTGCGTTTATCAAGAAGAATTAAACCTCATAATATATGCAACAGATGTGGAACAGAACTATACCAATCATCGACAAACCGACAAACAGCACCAAATATTTGTCTAAGTACCTAACAAGCAATTTTTTTTACATGTATTCTGCTAATTTGTTATCCTTGCTAACTCGGTTTTCATCATAAATATCCTTTTTCTCCTATCTATACCCCCTCCGCCCCTAAGAAAAAAGAAGAAAAAATAAGCAGTTATTACTGAAATGATAGCAAAAATATGTCATTTATGTATAACTGTATTTTTTGTTAATGCGTACTTTATTTGTCAGTGCTTAGTTTTTCATTTTTAAACTTTGATTTTTTTGAAAACAACAAAATTAGTCGCCTTTTGTCATCTACATTTTCACACTAGTTGATTTTGCTATTTCTTGGTTGCTTAAAAAATTTGATT